CGTCGCGACGCTCTCTCTCTCTCTTTCTCTCTTTCTCGCCGCCTGCATTTATATTTAACTTTGGCATCACTCGACATTCGACTTAGCAGCGCTGCTCGTCTTCCGCTCCTCGCCCTCCAACGACGTCGCCCTCGTTCTCGCCTCGTTCCGTTTCTCTTCTCTTCTTTCGGCGGTTACGCTTCTTTTTTACTCTTTCCGCCCCGCGCAAGTCGAGAAGCGCGCGAGGGATGCTTGCCACGCTATTATCACCGATGAGCCAAACAGCCATCGCTCATCGATAATTTTGGTCGCTCATTACGAAAATGCGTCCAATGACGCGTGACTGAGTGATGATCGAACGCGCCTCTCGCGAAAATGATTTCGCGGGACGACGACCCATTCTCATCTTTCTTCGTCAGGATGTAGCAAAAGTGTATCTAAATTCGAGACATGACATTTCCACTTGCGCATTCGATGATGCTATATAGAAAATATGACTAATCGGTATAATTGCGATACCGTAACATTCTTTAATGACAGTTTATTCTTTCTTAATAATATAATAACTGATGTTTACTTGCATGAAAGCTGTTCACAAATTTCTGGAAAAATTAAGGAAATATAATCCCGCTCCTAATTTTACATCGATGTATCAAGTCACAATCGCTACATGGTAGACTTGTTACGCACTGCAATCCGGGACAGCATTTGCCAAAGTTCGGGCACTGAAATGATAAATAAATTATCGTGTTGATTAATTCTCCAGCTAATACGTCGTTAGACGCTTTTTATTATAATTCTAATAAGCTCTAGTAAATTAAAAAGTTTGTAATAAATATAGCTTGATCATACTCACGTCTTCACCTTTCTCAATGCAATTTCCTGTTGTGGGTACAGCTCTAATAACAGTGAAAGTCACCATTATTACAAAAAGAAGACTCAAAAGGATCTTCATTTTTAAAATAACAAACGTGTCGAATAAAATACCGCAAACTTTTTTATATATTCTTCTTTTATCTTTATGTAATTTCTTTAATACGAAATTTGAGATTTTTTACAAGATTTTATACGAGATTTGACAACGGATGGAAGCGAGTCGATCTTTTATATCATATTGTGTGATACGCTATCAATATGCAAATACACGAGTTATTTATCATTTGCAAATACAATTAAGTACGCTTTGTTAGGTTGACACATTTTTTGTGTTTAATAAATGTGCATACAAAAGCAATCAAATTATATTATATTGAATATACATAAATTAATCATGACAACTGTTTAAATATTTTATATTGTGCATATTAAATTTAATTTGAGTAACATTTAATATCAAAACTATTGTGAAATGTTATAAAATATCTCACATGGCACAGATAGATTTCTATATAAAAAATTGTTACTACAATTTAATGTTATAGAACTTATAATTATAAGCGCAACAATATATACGTATTAAATACACAGTTTTGTCTTTAATTAAAGGAATGTAAAAGAATGACATACAAGTTATTTGATGCAAGAAATCGTTTAATCGTTCATTTAAGAACGTAAGTACAGCAAATTAATATGTATATATTTGTATATTATACTTATTGTATTATTCATATTCCCAAATATAATATGCTTAATTCGTCATATATATATGTATCCAAACTGAACTTTGTTTTAATTTTCTGGGGGAAATGGTCCATCTCCGATAGGCCTATTATCACCAATAATTTTACCGGGAACGCATTTAGCTGCGTACGTCAAGCATATTAACTCACGACAACATTGGTCCGTATCTTGACACTGTAACCATAATAATTTATTATGTTAGTATAGATGCTCTAATTGATTGTGATATTATAATAAATAATTACAATAAAATTCTAAAAATGTGTATATTACGATTTTTATCTAGAATTATTGCTAATATAATTATTTCTATTTTTAATTATACTTACATGTCCAAGCCATGGAGCGCATTCTGCACTAGAAGCAGGAGTTACGTTGATCATAGCAATCATGCCAATTAAAACGAGTAACAGATATTTATTCATTGTAGCAAAGAATTGTGATGCAATATTAACGGAATAAATCACTAGTATTCAAAGGCTGTAAACATAAAGAAGTAATAATTAAATACAGCACATAATATTATTAAAAAAAAGAGTATGCGTAATTGTCAACACTATTAATATATATTTACAATATTACTTAATGCAAATAATCAAAGTAAGTTAAAAAATTTCCAAGGGTTGCAAGGTGTCTGTAATCAGTTAAAGAATTTTTTCAGTTATAATCATCTAAAATATTTATGTGAATTTATACAACTGCGATAATCTTAGTTTAAAAATGAAAATTGTTAACAATTGATAATGTCGTTTCGACCATTGATATATTTTTATGTATCTGTATTGTGCATATGTGTATCAATATCATATATAATATCTCAAAAAAGATATAAATCTGCTAGTTTACTCGATCTTAATATTTTTCATGCAAAAATATTTTTAATATGTATAAATAAATAATGTTTTAAATTGATATGAATAAATTGTATATGTTTTAGAATGTATGTAAACATTCCAAAATGTCACAGTAACAACTTGATAAGAATAAAAAAACAATGAATAAAATACTGAATTTTTATAAAAAGATGGAAAATATTTGTACAATATGTTACTTTTTGTGTCAACTGATGTTGAAATGTGTACTTATTTATGCAGAGCAGATAATAGTACATCTGCTCATACATTCATATATAATAGTACATCTGCTCATACATACATATATATAAAAGTTTATTTTACACTTTATTAAAAAGTAAATTGCATAATAAATGTAAACATATGCATTGCGATGTATGTTTGTGACTGGTTTATATAGTAGGTTTATATAGTATTAAGAAAAATTGATTTACTTTTTTAAAATAAAAGAAAAATATTAAATCAATCAGAAGAATATAAAGTCGTTAGCAAATTGTAAAAAATTGATTAAAAAATTAGAAAATATGTTTTGTGAATATATATTTGATGATTTTAGATTATTGGAAAATTTATATCAGTGGAAACCGCTCTGAAATTTTATCAATTTGAAATACCTCCTTGACTAAAACTATTAATTTTAATATAAATAAAATACTTACAATTTTTACGAAAAAACGAAAAACCTTTGGTGATATTCTGATTTTAACTGATACGTCGAGTTTTGTCGAGTTGCAATAAATACTCATTTATACAAACAGATAAGAAGAGAAGAGAAGTTAATAAGGAAAACAAATAAAAACCAAACGCGGTTTATCAGATATTAAATATATAAGAACTTTTTCAAATAATATCGAATTATGGAATATTTATCTTCAATGGAAAATCATGACATTGTTTTCGTTCTTATCTCTTTATAAACTAAATCTTATAACATGCTTTGTGTCAGCTAGTTCTTGTAGTTAATAAAATGTTTAAAAAAGCTCGAGTTATAGCCCAAATTAAATTGTACTTTTTTAAAGTTGATAAGAAAAGAAAAATTTCGAAATATTTTCCAAGCTAAAAAAAGTATAAAATGCACATATTCAACTTAAAAATCGCGAAGAAATTATATAGAAAAAAATTATATCAATATATATTTGATATACAATCATTTAAAATTGTATTTGCGAAGAAGAAACTGAAATAAATTTACTTATCCAAAACAAATGTATAAAATTAAAACGGAAAAAAAACTAAAATTTAAGGCTATAGTTTTGAAAACGACTTATCTTTCGATGAAACTTTATGGAAGTTTTTTTTAATTAAAACAAAAGCCTCTGTAAGGACTTTTGATGACTTGTACGGAAAAATCATATTTTAATTTAATAATATACTTAACGTTTTTTTATTTTAACATTTAAACGTTTTTTTGTTTGTTTTTATTTTTAATTTTACAAAAATTTTAATTTTATTTTAATTATTTTACCTGGATATAATGTCTTGATGTCCTTTAAGAGTTTAGCATATGCGACGGTGCCACATGAACTCGCACAACTGTTCACTATGATGTGGTCGACTAGCTATAAATTGTATGGATACCATCACGTCACAGTTGATGACGCACCCAGCGTCAAACCAATTAAATGTTTTATGTATGAACTTTGTCCAAATTTAATGTTAGAAGAAAAATTAAACACAGTAAGAAATGGTTGAAAGTGTTTACAGAATAATTGAAGCCTTCAAAAATTTTCAAAAAACGATTGTACCAGAATAATTTAATTTATATTTTACAATCTTGTCGAAAATTCCATAACCATAAATTTTCGAAGACACAAAGTCAAAAAAAGATATTAAAAAGCACAGAAAATTTGTCAGAAGATTGTATATTTACAAACATATAACAAAATATGAATATATCTCTTTAAATAGCATAATACCTTAAATTCATCATTACTAATTTATTGTTATAATTGTAAGTACGAATGAAAAATATACGATTTCTAATAGATTCAGGTAACTTTATGCGTTATATATAATATTTTGTGCATTAATTTTAACGTATTATTTGTTCTTTTCTGAAATGTATTTAAAAACACTCGATTTCGTATTTGTACAAAAATTGCAATAAAATATTCTCACACTCGCAAAACATTATGATAAAATAAAAGCATTAAATTAAATTGTATCATACTGCAAATAACGTGCGCTAATATTCTTGCGCGCAAATATTTTTAAATATACTCTTGTATATATGCATATTATATACTATCAATTAAATATATACCGTCATTTTGCGAGGTCAACAGCTTTATACTGTCAACATTTAAGTAAAAGAATTGCTTTACAAAAAGATTTTCGTACACTGAATATGCATAGCATAAAATTTAAAATTACGCGTTATTATACAACTTAAAGTTTCGTTTCGTGTTTCACTCTAGTTCGAAGTAACTGATTCGGTCGTAGAATGCCGTGGGAATTATTTGGATAACAATTGTTGGACGTAACGTTAGACGCGCAACACTCCAGATTAGGATTGGTGGTGTTTCTTTCGTTATTCTCGTACGTGTGACACCTCTGCAAGGTTTCATCATGATTATGACCGTAGTTGACCTTCGTTCGAATTTGAACCTCCGAATCTGTCTCGTCTTCGTTGTCAGCACTATCTACATCGCCTGGAAAAATTACTATTAGCATTAATAAAAGTGGCAACCCATAGCCTAAATTGTACATATTTATGCAATTTTTACAGCATAATAGATTCGTATAAACACGAGTGGTGTAATCAAGCAAGAAATACACTCACCGTCAGAACTATTGGTGGACGGTAAATAAAAGCGCGAGGCTGGCATCTTATTTCCCGCGCGACGCTCTCGTTCTCTCCCGGTGCTGTTGGGATGATTATACTTGAACTCGCGGGGAAGCGTGTAGCTTCTAGGTAACGAGACTTGGCTACCTTCCATGTCGCTGACACCCGCTTCTCCTTCACCCTCGCCCTTGGAACTTTCCTCAGCACCGTTTTGATTCGCGTGCAATCTGTGGAAAAAGAATTCGAATGAATTAACACGTAAACGTAAACGATTCGGCGTTCAATAGATCTTCTGTTACCTGTGATTAAGATGACCAGGCGGACACCAGTGAGAATAATGATGCGGGAGACATCGTGGTGCTAGTAATATTTCCGGCGTGTCCGCTCGCTCCCGCTGGGGCGCCGATCTCCAGAGATTCGAGGGATGCGGATTGTGATAGTACGGGGAGGAAGGCGGCGGGGGCAAAAGGCAGTGCATTTTCACAGGCGGCCAAGATGACAATGCATTGCCGCCATTTTGCTCGGAGAATGACGGCGGTGACGTGAACAACGGGGAGCTCGGGGAAGTGTGCAGTTTCGTGTTCGGCGGTGGTTGTTGATTCGATGCGGAGGGAGAGGATGAGAAGGAAGACGTGGACGCGGACGGAGGTGGGAACAATTTACCCTCCTTGATCTCCTCCTGTATGGCTCGCAATTCGCGCAGCTGCTGCTGTTTCTTCTCCTTCAATTTCTCTCGTATTAACGTGACATTTAACGAGCCACCGATCGCTATGTCATTCTCATCTCTCTGCTCGTTGGAAACATCGTTCTATATTCGGAGGTTAATCACATTGTAGTAGCAATCCCACACGGATAATAAAAAGATTCGTCTCAAATATCTTACCTGCACTATGTTAGAACAGGATATGGGCTTTTTCCAGAATGGAATCAATTGCCGCGACCCATTGCCCACGTTGAGCCACTGTTTTGAGTCTCCCACCGCTGCCACTGAATTCATCACCGTGCCCGATTGCGGCGGCGGCGGCGGCACGAAGGACGTCGGTTTCTTCTTCTTGCGATTCGGATTCACAGCCGTTGGATTCGCGAAACGGCAGTTAAATACACCTGGTATGCCACCATTGCTTAATTTAACTTTCCTCATACCGATGCTAATGTTCACCTTCTTTCCTTCGTTATAATCTATTTGCTTTTCTTCCGCATTGTCCTGAAAAGTTGAAAATTAGACAACAGTGTTTTTGGAAATAAAAATGTATCTCGTATTATGCATACCTGATGGGACAATGTGGTGAGATTTGACCCCGTCATTCTTCCACCAGCCTCATACCTCAGTCTTCTCACGTGGAAGAATCTAATAACAAGCAACAAAATGCAGCAAACGATATTTGATAAGCAAAGTTTAAATAAAATATTGTATTCACCTGTAATAAAGGCCCATGAAAAACATGCCGCCGAAAAATAAAGCTAGGAGAATAAGTACTAGAGTAACCGGATGTAGATGATGCTGATGCGGTAAAAAATCGGCGCGATTAACACCGGCTATCCATACGCCGATGAGTAAACTATTTTCCAAGAACATTACGGTGTAAAATATTACCTGGAAAAATATAAATGCAGATTAACGATTGTAAATATCTTTCAAGCGCAAGCATGCGTGCACAAATCCGACATCCTTTCACGTTCACTAACCATTTTTTGACGATGATTCGTCTCGTGTAGATTGACATACGCGAATATATATACATAGGCGAGAAGGGAAGCGAGATAAGTCTTTCTGAGAAGAGGCAGACGCTCTCCGCCGTGAAAGAGTCCATCTGGCGTGAGCAATAACCATGTCAACATAGACAACCAGTGTAGGGCCATTACGACCAACAGCCACTGTCCACCGTACAGCGAAGCGTACACGACTAGTGCCCCGACACGAGCACTCACTGTCCCCAGACGCCAGAATAATTGCGTCAGCACCCCCAACCATGTTAATACTAAACGTTCTAGATTGCGTAGACGCGCTGCGCCTTTGCTGAAACTAGCCACCGCCCAACATACACTCCACAAGGAGAATACCGCTGACACTAGTGTCAACTCCGCAAATTTACCGCCGTCCTTGCCATCACTTTCCTTTGGTTTTCCAACTTCTATTTCATCGCCGTCGGTAGCGCCAAACAGGATATACAGTTGTAGAAGTAGCATTGGAGCGGCTTCACAGAACGCGTGTATCAGCCGTAATACGCAGAGCTCTCTCAGCTGAGGCAATAAGATTCAAGCTTGACAAACGATCGATAAACGAAGATTCCTTCTTTCAAGTGCAAGTTCTTACCTCGTGCTTCACATAAGTTAAATTGACTGGGATAAATAACTTGAAATATCTCCATAGTACACCGACTTGAGTGGAATGGAGTAATAGAACACAGCCTACGGTCCAGTTGCTAATTTTCTTGACTGGATTCGCATTGCTATCACCTGCTACGTTGTTGTTTGCTAGTTTACCTCTAGCTCCCCAGAGATACCATCGCAAACTAACAATCTGTAGAAAAGTGACAAAAAGTGGCAGTGAGATAAAAATTGTAAAGATATTTTATATTCTACTTCTTTGTTCGTTCACTTAAATACCAACCTGGGAAATTAAGAGAGAAGTGGCAATAAGAGTGATGCTTAATGGGAATAACACCGGCGGTGCTATCGCTTGATGGGCCAGGGCATACACCATTGCAAAATCAAAAACAACATCGCAGAAGTAAGATGCTAACGACATAATATTAAATAATACATCACACAGGGGTAAAAATTCATGTTGATGTTGTGGTTGATGACACTGGGCCATAATGGGCTTTTATTGCCCATTTGGAATGTCTAGCAATCTTTTTATTTTACTTTTATCAATGTTCTCTCTACTCCCTGTGAACAAAATATTACATCTTATTAAATTAACGCAGTGCAATGTATAAAAATTGTTTCTAGAATTATTGTTTACTAATAATACATTACATAAAGTATTAAAAAATTTATTTTTAAAAAATTAAAAAATAATATAATATAATATAAATTTATGCACAAGTGTTTTTTTCCAAAAAAGATATAAATTTCAACCACAAAAATTAAATCGAGAATAAAAGATCACATATCTTTGTGTTGAAGAATTTTGTAAACTATATTATATATTTCTTTAAATTATCACTAAAAATTAATCATGATAATTTTAAGTACATAAAATTTAAAAAAACGCACTTTTTCAATTAATGCACTTTTCATGTTGGAGAAGTGATGAACAAAAAACGCAAAGTTGATTAAAAATAAGGGACAATGTTCGGTATCACAAACGGATTTTTTTATCCGTTAGGCACCGGGGTCAAATTAACGTCGCTTTCACGACATTACGAGATCCGTATTTGCCCTGCGCCGCATTCAAAATGCACATTTCTATTTCACTCACATCGAGACGCGTCCGAACGATTTTTAAAGTTCAGCACAACGAGGCGAACGCGCAACAATGTCGGCGCGTATAGCGCAGCGTGGGATCGCGCGCTCGCTCAGCGCATTCCGCGCGTGTCATTGACGAGAGCGGCGATCACAAAAATCACTCTGCCGATCCGGACGCCGCCGCCGCGCCGCTTGCGGGGAAGCTGGATCAGCGGCGTTGGTATGCGCGGAATCCGACCGTGCGCGTCCGTCACCCCAGCACACAGTTTAGGGAACGCGCGTTTCCACCTGGAGCACCGCTTTCCCCTGCCGTTCGGCCGATCCCAGTCGTCGTACGCTATTCTCTAAGACTCGTCGTCGACCTCGTCGTGGCGTTTCGTTGCGGCGCTCGTTTGCACGCTGCATCTTTCGAAGGGACCCGCGGCGAATCTCGACACTACGAGAGATCGCGCGTACGACGTCATCCCACGCATACCGACCCGCCGATCTACCTGTTGATTCAGTGCAATTCAATGCGGCTATTTTACGCGCACACCGCACGCTCGCTCCTTCTTCCTCGTTCGTACTTGAACCCGCTCGTACTCGCTCGCTCGCTCGCATATTCCGTAGCCGTAAACACCTGGCGCCGCCGGTGAGGAACGCAAGAGCGAGCCTCACCTTAGGCGGCCTGAACGCGCTACTCTGTCAGGATTTTTTCGGTTATTCTTTCTCCCTCGTACTGATCGCCTCGATATGCGGGCGTTGATGCTTCATACCATCGTACGATGCTCTAAGATGTATACGTACATATGATTATTAAATGACAAGAGATATTGATTAAAATGTATAAATAAAAAAAATTTATCGTTATACTTACAACAAAATACAAATAATTGTATATTTTTCATAATATATACAAACATGAAATATATTTATACAATTCTTTATATTGTAAAAATTGTGTTTTGCTATCACTTCTATGTACAATTTATAATTCCCACATATTAAATTGCCACATGTACAAAATATGTATAACAGTCTTATGTTAATTTTGTATTGTGAAAATTATATAAAATTTAACGTAAAAATACTTCAAAAATTATCTTACATATACTTAGCATTTTATCATTTGTGCTTGTATATCTTAATATCCAAAACATTAATACATTCCATAGTCACAGCAGATATTAAACAATTACAGAATAATTTCATTCTTATAGTTTCTCGTAAGCTCCTTATGTGGCAGAACAATCGAATTCAATAGAATCTTTTCCGCAGCCAAACTCACACTGGTGCCTGTAATCAAATACATAATTATGTGAAATTGAGCTATAATAAAAAAAATTTTTTTATATATTTCATATACCTACCAAGTATCGTGATGGAGGGATTGAGTTTGCCATTCACATTAAACAGTGGCAGATTTTCCATTTTCGCAAATGGTTTGTTAGGATTGGGATCGCAAGGAGTCCCTTCAACGCGAGCCCATTCGCCTACATTGGTGCCTGTTCCTATAATGCTGTGTAGGATAAGAGAATGAGCCTGTATGTATGCATTAGCCAATACAATCGACTCTCTAATTCTTACACCAGGCCCAATAGTTGTATTTGGACCTATGCTTACATTCGGACCTAGCTGCAATAAGAATTTTATATTAACGTGCGAGCAAGTTTATAAACTATATTAAAAGAATTTATCTTTATACCATAGAAGTTGAGTGTACAGTAGCGGATGGATGAATATATACATCTCCCACAATGTTACAAGAGCTATTATTAATGGAAGCGAGGCGATTTGACTGCTTTTGCTTGTAGAGAGCTAAATAGTGTCGATTTGCGTATATTGCAGAGCCCGCAGTTTTCACTTGCGACCACCATCTGAACACTGGTAGAGCGTACAACCGTCCGGATCCTGCCAAACGTGTAAGTATATCTTGCTCAAATGCAATGTGTGCCGGATCTCTGCCATTACAGCACACTTGCCTGCAAGTTTTGTAAGAAAATATTTAAAGAAAATTAAGTTTCTCATTGTATTAACAAATCCATAAGAAACTTACATTATGTGATCTTGCTGCTGGTTAGCATGAAAGACATCTGCCATTGTTTGAAAGATGTCCAGAGAGGCAAGATATACTCCGCAGTTAATAAGAGTCGATACAAATGTTGAAGGCTTTTCGACATAATGCGCTACTTCTCCCTCTTTCCCCAAAACCATACATCCGTAATTCAAGGATTGCTGTCGAGTCGCTTCCGTTGCCATGATTGTGAGCAATGCCTGCTTTTTCTTGTGAAACTCAACCATTTCCAACAGAGGAAAGTCAGCACAGACATCTCCATTCATTATGAAAAAGTACATTGGACTGCCTGAACGAATCTGATCACGGAAATGATACATGCCTCCTGCTGTTCCAAGAGGAGTAAATTCCTGTAGATATCTAATAATTATGCCATAGCTAATTGACATCTCTTGAACAAATTGATCTAAATCGTTTTTGGGATATGCACCGATTATCAACACTTCATTGAGACCAGGCACTTTTGTACATGCTTCAATATGATGTTGTATCATAGGTAATCCAGCTACTGGAAATAATGGCTTAGGGATGTCCAGAGACAGAGGTCTAAATCTTGTCCCTACAAAAATAACAGCATTAAATAATAATACATGCACAAGACATATATTTAAAAAAATATGTGTTAAAATTTTAATCACATATACATATTTGAGTAAATCATAATAGAAACCTTTTAAAGGTCCTCCAATCAAAATAACAGCCTTCAACATGATTGCACTAATTAAATATCCCTTCTTATAGAATTAAAAATATTTCTATCCCCAAAAACAACAATTAAATAAATCTTTAGAAGCAACAAGAAACTTAATCCACCGATGCTAATCACTCCACGTAGACATATTTGTACGCTTGAGACGTCGACAGATGTGTCATTGATGGCATCAGTTTTCAATTTTCGATGAATCGATTTCGTAACGATACAATGACAGTACGTACTGAAAAAAATATTCTTCTTCGACTGCTAAACTAAATGAGAATCTTATCTGTCACATTGATAACGACTTCACATATTAGCCCGCCAAAATAATTGAAATGTGGCATAATTTAACTTGACGAGAGGAGGAGGCCATAAACACAATCTCAAACTTTGTGTTGTAATTCTCTTCTGTTTTCATACCAATATTTTCAAGTTATTCAGAACAATTTATTCAAATAGAATTTTTCTCTCAGTCCTTGCATTGACAATAAAATGTTAAACAATTAATGTCATATTTAGGTTCGACACAGAGTGTGTTATTATCAGATGCATTTTCAATTAGGAAATTGGAGTGAATGAACTAGTGTGCACCAGATGTATCTTCCACCGGTTCTTTGTGTTTAGTGGGTTGGTATCACTTTTCACTAAGTTAAGGAGAATTTACAAGTTAATTGGCCGGAGCACAGACTTTTGCATAAAGCATAACGCATAAGCATAAGGAAAT